ATATGTACATATATTAAAGCAAAAAGCCAAGATTCTCGTTATCGCCTTTTAGAGCGAGATTTTTTCGTAAAAATGACCGCCTCAGAGCCCTATTCAAGCTGCAAACTTGTGATGTCTCTGCAAAAATTCAGGAACCAAAATCATGCAGGTTTTGTGATCTAACATTTTCACTATGGGTTCTCAAAACAAACAAGAATGTTCGGGGAGAACCTCTTTATGTCTTATGGCTACTAAAAGCGATAATTACAACGTGGGTAAAAATGCTCACACTTCGGAGCTAGGTAAAACAAAGAGACGGAATTCAGGGAGGAAGAAAATTTATCGCATACACTAAAGCCCTGCTGGAAATAAAAAATAACGTAGAATTGAACGCCGTAAACAAGCATCAAAATAAAAAAACAAAATTTAGTGAACCAAACCTCAAAATTCTGTTGCGACTGAAAATCGTTTTGCCGTAACCATGTGGAAGCGGCTAACAGAATAGGTGGCCAACTTGACCGATAATATTCTTTGCAAAACTGTAAAAGTGAACGGTTTGTTAGGCAGCCCAACCGGACATACTAAATCCTTATGCCTCTTCCTGCCTTCTAGTGCCTAAGTCCACCAGTAATTTGTTAAATTTGATTTGGTTATCAGACACAGCTGCCGTTTGTGAATGAATTTGCTTATTACTTGGGTAGCCTGCACTGCTTTTGCTTATTGCTTGGGTCGTCTGCACGGTAAAAACACTTATGTGTTTTGCTCGCTCACAGCCTAAATCTTCATAAAAAAAAAAAAAAGTGGAACTTACGTCAGCACATTCAGCAGTATAATATGCTCCACCTTTAGGTGGCAATTGTGATTTGAACTCAGGTGGAAGAGAGAGAAGCGCGGAATCACGCAATGCCGCCAACCAGCAATTGATCAGCGAGCTGAGTTCCGGCGCCACCAGACTCAGCAAACTCTCCTGCGAAAAGCAGCATTCTTCGTCATCTGAATAAATATTAACTTATCAGCATATTCTGCAACAGAAGATATTTGTGCTTGTTCACTACGTTCGCCTGACTCGGCCAACGTAAAAAATGAACCAAGATTCCGATCTGTTTTATTACGATATTATGTCATCCGTATTCATTTGAACATGGAGCAATCTGTAGAAGAAGTTCAGGAGATCATTTTAAGCTAGATGCCTTATAAAATACGACAAAACAAAAATTCCAAATTTCCAGCCGCAGCTTTTTTGGATCTTAAATTATAACAGCGCTAGAAATCAACATAGAAAGATCTAAAAATCAGTTTCAGAATCACTGCCACATTCATAATTGGGCAGTAGGTCTTTTACG